CGATAAACAAAAATTGCTCCCACGAGCTCACAGGAAGTCCGGTGTCATTCGCAAGATGTCCAGCCCAACAATTTACACCGTTCTGTATACTAAATACAACGATTTTCGCTTCAAGGGTAAACAAACGACTAGAGCATCACAATTAGCCGTACACTCCTGGAATTGTTCGGTTCTCCGGGTTTCGCTCCCATTTTTTGCCTACCTGGACACCCACCATGACGCCACCGGTTTGCTCATACCCTGGTTTTCTAGGATGACGAACTTCTGGTCCATTGGCTTTGGTAGTTTAATGCCTCGGACGCGGTTAGGTTACCTCAGGCTTCCCGAGGCACTGTACACTGACTTGGCCGAATCGCCACACTATTGAGATCCTGGTCAACAGGATCACCTCGCATTGTACCTTATTATGGGGCGTGTATTCGTCGTGATCAGCAGGAGAGTTCTCGCTTCTACTTTGTCACCAGAGCAGCAGAATTTCTCCGTTGCCTGCAACTGCGACACACGCCCCGTGGCCATTGTAGCGAGCGTCGAATGCAACAGCAACCCGTCAATTGGGACAAAAACAGGACAAGTGAGGGAGCTGATCTCAAAGTGACTCTTCATCCGTTGAACGCTATACTTGCCCTTGTGCCAACACACCTCAGCTCACCTGTCGTTTTTTGCCACATTACATCCCCTAAAGGCTTCACTCACAGGCTTTCTGAGTGGGGGCTTTGTAATGATACACTGACCGCTGAATTTCCACCATGAACGCTCTTCTGCTCCCTAATTGTCTGTCCTTTTTTCTACGTCAACGTTGCATGTATTTGCACACGGCGCTCTACTTAACCTCCACTCTCATAGCCTCGCTTCTAGTCATTTACCATGTACCCGCTGTTTTCCCCAAACCGACTTTATTCTTAGTATATTTTGTATAGCATAGTTTATTAGCCGGTGCGGTCTACGCACTGAATCCGAGAGGCTTGAGTGGCCCAAACAAGTGTCAGGGGTTCAGCGCAAAATTGAAGTTGCAAAACAGTTCCTGAAACGTTCATGTCTCATAATCGTTCGCCCAACGGGCGGCAGCTGTACCAAGACAGGTGATCGTCTGTGTGAGTTCCCGGATTTAAATTTCCTCATTAAGTTGGAGTAACCAAGGGAACAAGTAGGCGCGCCGTTACGACTCACCTCAGTCCTTTTCAGCATCAAACACCACTCTACTATTAGATTTGTCCGTCCCCTCCATCATCACTTTTTGTCTTTGTTGCGCAAACCAAGTTAACCAAAATGGCATATTTTAGCTGACTAACGAACTCTGGCCGAATATGGATGACGTTTGGCCATCCTTCCAAATTCTGACTACACATACACCACACACCCACTTCGACAGCGATACAAGAATTGGTCACTTTGGCAAGTATCGTAAACAAATGACGCAACGCGAAGTCATAGGAGTCTCATTAATCAACAAATTACCCGCCGGAACCTGGTATCAGCACGACAGAAAACTTACCGCTCTACCAATTGAGAACATTTTTAGACCACGGGGGCTGATGTGGTCGATGACGAGATCATCCCCATAAGACCTCTGTTTCGACCAAGGGGGATATTCGCGGAGGGACCTGTACCAACTTCGACAAATACACTCATTTGGTTTGCACAGGAGACGCACCTCAATCCCTCGTTTATGGTATTCTTCAAAAGAATGTGTTGTTCAAAGGCAGCCTCATGTTCCAGAAGGTATGACAGCTGTCGAAGAGTTTTCAACAACCTTGTATAAAGCCCATAATCCAGCTTTACCATTATTACTAAAGAATTCGCCCTTACTACCAGGCTTACCAAACACAAAACCAAGAACTGTGAGGATGAAATTTGCAAAAGAGGCCTACTAATAACATGCGGAAAGTCCGTAATTTCCCCAAATCCGAATACCCATGGACACACAATTCCAGTGAGTTTCAAGTTCAATTCAAGTTTCAGAGACCGCTTCCAACAATTGCGCCCCAAACCGGAAGCGTGCTAATGAAAGCGACCATTTGTTCAACGTGGTCCCAATAAGCTCTTGATACTGGTGCGACTGGTCTACGTGATAGGAGAAAGCCCGTATTGCTTTGATCGTGTAAGGAACAATAGATTTGAACAAGGATGAAAACGGAAAGTGGATATAGATCAATTTCATGGAGTCTGCAGAAGCTTGGCCAAACAATCACCGGCATAACAAAATCAGTAAAATGGACCTGGGATGGTGTCCAAATCAAAGATTCTAAGAAAATTCAGTGACGTGGCAAGGTTGCCATACTTAGACAATGCGCATAACATCAATCACGAGGCTGAATAGAGATGAGCTGATAGAAACCCCCTGCCACACTCCACTTCAGAAGGCGACGAGAAAAGACAGGTGGTCACTGGCTCTAGTTTGACTTCGGATTTGGTGAGGCAGCAACTGCAACGTCGAAATGCTCCCCATGCACTCTAGCTAGTGGCGAGGTGCTATCGCCAGAACGTAGCCGGAAAACTATACTGAATTTTAAAGTCAAAACACTTTGTGAACTCGAGTAGCACCTTGTTCTAACTTAGTGATTGTCTCATAAAAACGGGGCTCCCGCAGACAGGACAATTCGCTCCGTTACAAACCTTATATTGTAAGTGAAGCTAACGAATCAGGTCACGGCTCAGATCAACCATGGTTTGAGTGAATGCTTTCACATTACAGGTTGTGGAGATCAGAGGCTGATATGCCGTCGACCTGAGAGTTCACTTCGTTGAGGGCTGTTATCGATGGAATTTTTTGCGATAGAAGCGACCCCTACCCCAGAGGAAGGCGCAAAGGAACCACGAAAATTCGGGGTATGTGGACACACTACCTATGATGCAGTGTTACGAGCTGAATTCGGAGAATACGCGAAAACTGTCCTTACCTCCATTTAAATCGATCGGGAGTTGGAGAAACCCAGAGGACTTTGAAACTGAGCCTAATATTATCTGGCTAGGCGGTGAGTCCTAGAAACCGACTCGTTTTTCGATCTTCCGTGAACGACTGTTCGCAACCACAGACTAGCGACAGCGTATCACGGAGGTTAAGCTAATATGGGTTTGCCTGGACTAGAAGCATCCCAGTGGAGCCAAGGTCACGAACTATGGTGGACCGGCGATTCCTGCACTCCTCGATGGGTTTTTGGAGTCACATTAATGAAATATGAAGGGCTGGAATCCGAGTACAGAATGTCGCCACTGTCGTCTGGACACAATCGAGTACCTTCATGATACTTCGAAAATACAAACGCAAACGTAGCAGTAGCATCCTTTCTATCATCTGTCCATATCGAGTGATGTTTTTGAGGACCCGGTGACTTGAAAGGCATCAGACGAACCAAAGTTCATTGCCATTTGGTGGTTACTAAGAGCGATGAATACAACAGCCTTGGAGGGAGTTAGAAGGCTCTAAGTGAGTTTACTTCGGTGAATGGACAAGGCTCGACAACATAGTTGGAAATTTTGAGCGTTGAATTAAGAGCAGCATTCATACACCAATAAAACTGAGATTAGATAGACCATTGACGAGGCAGCTGGCACTGGAATATAGCTAGCTCCGGCCGGCTTAAGGTTCCGAAGAATTAACTTGGCCAAAGAATCAACAACCAACCGTAACTCAGGTGAAACCCCAGCACCAGGGCAAAGCAAAAGCACATCGTCAGCGTATTTTATATTACAACTGGAGCGGAGTACCAACACATGCTCGGACTGATACATGAGAAGAAAAAGGTTAAGCGGCTGTCCGAGCCTTGCAAACCAATCTGGTAAAATCTATTTACACGATAAAAACAGTTTGGACAGACGAGATTACACGAACAGCGATGATTCTTGGTACAATGTGATAGCAGACTACTGATCAAGGAATCGGTAACGCATTAATCTGAAAGGTAATAGAGGCGAGATCGATGAGATAGCATAAAAGGTGCAAACAGGAAAAGTACCTAAACAGATATGGGGAGGTAGTCTTTTCATCAGATTAAGAGTTACAAAGCCGATCAGATGGTCTACCATCGAAACATGTATTAGCTATGTTCAACCTACGAGCAACGAGTGTGACCATCGTAAGAGAACGTTGACAAACATGAATAGACTAGGTGCAATACTTGGTTATTAGCTTGTTCTCTCTAATATATGGATCGCCAAGCGTACTAACGCATGCTGAGCCGACTCAGCTTATAATGACCGCATATGTAGCAGCAGCAACTGCGCACCTCAAGATTTGAGACCTATAAACACGAAGTACTCAGGAACTCGGTGAAACAGTACTGTTAGAGCTTAGCTATTCGTGACGACAGGCTATAGTGAGTGCGCAGTAAATGGGTTACTTCAGAGCCTTGCTGTCATTTTGAGGCTCCCGTCACTTGAAGCATTCCATGGTAGAATCATACACTCAACTTCGAGACGCGGTCCATCACGGAAGTAGATTCTCTGCCCCCCACGTAAATCGTGGAATTCGTCATTGCCGAATGAGTTCCACTATCAGTTGTCTCACACAAACTGTAAAACCGAGCTCACATTCATCTTTGTCATCCGAAACCTAATTAGCTGTCCTTCACACATTAACCACATTGGACCTTGTGATTCGTGCTTCCGTCGTATTAAAGGGGTCGCTGACCACAGAATACAACATAAAATAGACCCGAGAGGCTGCACAAAGAGGCTGTAATAAAAAGATTCAATAAAACTATATACTACTGAAATTCCCCACACAAAATCCGACTGAACAGCTCAAATGAATAGAACAATCCACACTAGACAAAGTATGCCGAAGTTGACCTCTTCGTATCTGTGCTTCACGCACATACCTTGTACCGGTCTCTATACGGACGGACTCTGCACACTGAGAAGGAACGCTACCTAATTCGCAAAGCTTACGAGTGAGTGTAACTGAGGGTCACTACCATCATGCTTGGACGCTTTTCGTACTTTACGTTATTCCGAAGGGCCAGCCCTATCGTGGTTCATGTGCACAACGTTTCACAATGCTTTCAGTGCTTTCTGGAACTCCAAAAACACCGATAATTTTTGTCCTCAGACTGATTGTACAAAAACACCGCAGGTATCGAGATAAAACCATCAACGTTGCAGCAAAAAGCAAAATTTACGCATGTAGGTGTGACGTCGGGGCCACACCTTTCAGCACCACCTCGTATCAAACACAACGTCTCACCAAAACGAAAAGCTCGCTGAAAAGCCATAAAGATAGGATGTGAACCCCACGAACCAGTATAGGTACTAATGAGTCAGGAGACACCAACGAGTTTGCACTTGTATCGTTAGACTTATGGCCGAATGACGAATTAGGCTGGATGATTGTGAGTGAACCGGTTGTGTACCGAAACTATAGGGTCTACCTACAGCCGAACATTCCGATGTTATGTACTCCAACCCGAATAAAATAGCGAAATCGGAACACAAACTCACTCGCTTCACTTTAATCTCCTGATTGTCAAACTTGGCACCTTGCAACCCCTCAACCAGCCGAGTTGCAGATTCGACGGATTCCATAACCAAGTATGCATAGATCGAAGGTGGGGTGCTCTTACGGCTTCCGATTATCTTGATCGTCTGAACCTAGGAACGCAGAGTCAAGT